TTCTTCATTGAATTCATAGTTGCATTGCGACAAAATATACCTACTGAAATGTCATATTTTAAGTAGACCTTGCAATGGCCTTTGACTTTTCCTACAAATTCGATGTTGAGTAAGAATGAGAAAGCTCATGTCTGTTTCAGAATTTGTCAAAAGAATAACTGATAAATAAAGAACAAAGCTCATGACTCATACTGATCAGCTTCCTTAGATGATTAACAAGAGAATAACTATCCTCAAGAAAATGAATAAATGGTATTCTGTATGACTAAATAAAGAATACGATATGAAAGATTCTTTGGGTATAAGGTTTGAGAATGTGAATGCTTAAAAATATATATTTAAATTACTCATACCATCCTGCTAAACAGCTTAACCTGCTTTTCCTTTTCAAGAACAAGATGTCTGAGGGAATGACTCTCTCCCTGTATGTGGGGATGTTACATCGTGGAATAGTCTACTAAGATCTCATTATTCTCAAAGTTGAGCAGAAGAACAGTCTGACTAACTTTTATTAAGTCTTTCGACCTCCTTTATGTTAGTATTTTGCCTATCAAATTTGAGCCAATAGTCTTCTTTCGCATGCCATTGTTTTTGTTTATTTTCCTCAACAATTTCCAGGGGGGTAGTGATTCGTATCTTTGCTACAGTCCTCACTTGTTTTAGGGCAGACACAGATTTATTGTAGTGGTTGGACATAAATTTTGTTGTTATGTGTCTTTTCTTTTCATTATTGCACTTTTGGATTTTAAAGCACAATAATTTCTTATGTGAAGGGTAGAAACATGATGTGTCTATTCTCCTTTATTAATAAAATAAGTGCACAGCACAACCAACACCCTGCATGCCAGATCCGAGCCTTGAACAAATCCTGGCATTCCATAATTCCCAAAGGCTGAAGCTACTAGTGAATAGGAACTTCACGTTTCCTGAAAATCTAAGTATAGTGCTACGTTATGCTTTTCTTCTCTTTTTTAGTGTATATAATGTTGCAGAGTACTAAGAACAGAAACACATAATTATACACTCCACTTTCAAGCTCTTACCCTCGTGAGATTTTTAATCGTAATTGATGTGATAAATTAAAAGTTTAAAACAAGCCTCCATTTTATTAAAATCTGGATGGAATTTCAATCTGCTATGATGTGTGAGCTGAAACTATTTGTGAAATGCCTACCCTAAAGCAAATAAATATGTTCACTAATTTGGAATTTGCTCGGAGAGACCATTTTGTTATTTTGATTGATTTTGTCCCGTCTTGAGATCACTTATCTGCATGGAATTTCCTCTCTTTTTCTTCATCTTCTTACTTGACTGACACTTTCCCATTTTAAAAATTAGTCCTTGCAAAGCAGTATCGAAGGAGGAAGCAAATGGCTGGTGAACAAGCTTAAAGGTTAGTCTTCCTCATTACTCTTTTTATTAGTTTCCACATTTTATCTTTCCATACTGCCCCATTCTTGTAGCTAGCTTAAAGTACCTTTGGACCAAAATCCACGATAATGCATTACAACTGTGTGTTCCAATAATTTTATTCTTTCATCAAATATGAGCTCTTACACATATTACTTACTCGATCATTAACTACTTTTAAGAAAAGGTTATACTTGAAGCTTGTGAAACATTAGCCCTCTTGCCACCCTTGCTCTAGTTATAAAGGTTTGGCTGACACCAATACAGGGAAATAAAATGCTGACCTTTTTCTGTCTGGCGAGTCTCATGATGTAGAGGATAGTGGTTTGTAGTCAGACTGTAAACTAGCTTGTGATAACCATGTTAAATGTCGAAAGAAACATCACTCTCTTCTTGTTTTTTTTTTTGGGTATTTTTCCAGAAAAATAATCCATTTTTGAAAGAAAAGAGGCTAAAGCTGAAATGCTGGATAGTTTGAATAATTTGAATAATAATCCAAAAATGTTTGCTTTCTTGTAATAGTAAATACTAAATACTCTAAACAATTTTTCATAGCGACTGAAGACCATTGATTCATTTTGTTGAGTTATTGGTTTTCATATATAAATGCTCATGAAAAGTCACGACCTTTCCTCGATTATTCAATCACGAGCTTTCTTCGGTCATTCCTTGTATTCTTATGCCAAAATATTCAGGAGCTTTCTCATCCTTGCTTTGCACTGGATTTGTAGGGAAAATGCAAAAGCCATTACCAGAACTGCTGAAGGAACACGACATTCCAGTAGGCATTTTCCCTCGTGATGCCACCAACTATGAGTTCAACGAAGAAACCAGGAAGCTCACTGTTTATATTCCTTCAATATGTGAGGTTGGTTACAGAGATTCATCTGTATTACGCTTCTCTACCGCGGTTACTGGATACTTGGAGAAAGGAAAGCTAGCTGACATTGAGGGAATAAAAACAAAGGTAATGATCTGGGTAAAAGTTACTGCCATTTCATCTGAAAAATCAAAGCTTTATGTCACGGCTGGGTTGAAGAAATCCCGCAGTAGAGAGGCGTATGAGGTGTTGAGAGATGGATTTACTGTAGATAAATTCTAGTGGTGATATCAACTCGCGATGAACGATAAGATTGATAGTTAATAAATACTACTATTTATAAGTTTGGTTGAAACTGTGATGCAAGTTTGGTTTAAAAATTGTAATGTTGATTGCACTTGTGAAATATTAACTTTGTAATTAGATTTATGTAATTTTTTTAAAAAATATTATATATGCACCAGCCGGGAATCGAACCCGGGTCTGTACCGTGGCAGGGTACTATTCTACCACTAGACCACTGGTGCTGTTGTATATGATAGTGGAGACATAACTTAATGAACATACTTTAAAATCATTGAGGACCTTTACAATAGAAGAAAATGACTTTCTTATTTCTTACTCCCTCAGTCTCATTTTATGTGGCAATATTTGATCGGGCGTGGAGTTTAAGAAAAAAAATGAAGATTTTGAAATATTTATTAAATTGTCCTACAAAAGTTGACTCACTTTTCTCTCTGCTTATAAATGTATTTGAGTACTATTTTTAAAAATTATGTGGGACTAACAAGGGTAAAAAAGAAATTATACCTTTAAATACTTACCATATAAGGAAATGTGACATTCTTTTTGGGACCGATCGAAAAGATAATGGTGCCACATAAAATGGGAAGGAGGAAGTCAAGATTAAAGTATTTGAGCGCTCATAACTTAGAACTCGTCGTCGAATATGATATTGAAATGTTAGTTTGAAACCCATTGAAAATGAAATCACAATCATTAGTTGCTAGAATTATATTATTCTAGTTCATTGGTCGAAAATCACAAGCATCAAGATAACAAAAAATCAAAACCAAGATAAATGAAACCATAGTATTACTATAGCTTCATGCATATGCTAGAGACAAAGAGCAACCTCAAAGACCAAAGTTATCAAAGAAGAAATTGAAGTCTATTATTCTTTGTCACCAAAAACAATTTGAGGTTCTGTGCATTCAACTTAACTATTTAATGCAAATAGAAAAAGTGATCAAAATGTATACATACGGTAAGATAACAATCATTCTAAAACTATTCATTGCCATCAAAACAGAGCTAAAGTAGGTTCTGTGGATTCAATTGAACTATATAATACAGATAGAAAAAAGATATACAATTAGAATACAATAATCATTCTAAATCCAACGTACAATTCCAAATATACATTTATAATATGACTTAAAATCTGAAAAAAATTATGGCTCCGCGCTATCGCGATACAACGGCTTAATTGTCATGGGAGTGGAAAAATAATTAGGTGATTGAACAATTTGGTCTGATGGAGTACATGAAGAGTTCCTTAAACAATGTTTCATACACAAGAAGAAAACCAAAGTGACTATAAAAAGAGTAAAAAGAAGTACAAGTACCAGCAACATAATTTCTCCACTTAGAGCAAAATTATGATCCTTAGTTGATAGAATAATTGGATCATCACCTTTTTGGTAAAATTCATTTGGAGCCATGGAGGGTACTATTGTTTTCATCAAAGTAGACATAAAAGAAAGAAAGTTCTAACAAAAATATAGCATATGGTATGGTATATTATTTATTTTATTATAATTTGTTCATGTTTGATAGGGTACGAAATTTCATTGATAGTTTTTTGGCATGTTATAGTGTATGGTAGTCCCACTTTTAAATTGTCCATTTTCATGATATTTATCTCATTTGGACTGGAATTAACTTGAGATTTTTGAAAATGAATAATATGGTACAATATGGACCATATATTATATCAAAACGTGAAAATGATTGCAACAAGTAAGGGGACAAGATACTAGAAGATGTCAATGTCACTAACTTTGGGCCAAAGTCTATTGAGGGAGACGGATTCAGAATATTTTTAAGATATTAGCTTCGAATACGTCATATATTTTAACAATTATTAGCTCAAAATTTAGCTTCTCTACTTCCATTATGTGCACACTCTATCTTTCTCACTGCATATGTTGTTGTAGTAGCTCAAAATTAAATTGGATTTCACGTAAAAAAAAAATACCAAAATATATCTTGAATTCGAACCCTAAATATAGAATTATCTTTGATATGTGAAGCACCTAACCCCGTTAAAAGTAAAACCCTCCGTCATAAATCTAAATTAGTCATTCTCAAAAACAGGTACCGTGTGGGAACCAAAAAAAATAATTGAGGTTTATAAGACAGGCGCACATAGGTCCGGAAATTGAAAGTAACAAGTGAACCATCATCGATTTGTTTGATTTTGAGCTTCATAAATACTAATGACTAGAAAGTACAAAGAGACAAATCTAGGATAAATTACATTTTTTTTTAATTTAATCGTCCTGTATCAGAAATTTACTGCCTGGCCAATCCAAATTCGCGCCTGGTGGGGCCACAAAGGAGATATACAAAACACTCCATTTTACATGCCCTAACGTAGTTCAACCCGTCAATTTAACACTCCTAGATTGTCATCCCATGATCGGGAGTGACCTTGAGGGTGAATTATGCACTAAACTTTGATTTAATCTTATACAACACACAGAAGTAACTTACCAACACGATTTCATTAAACCTCTATGTTTGACTGATCATTAACTTACATCCACCAAAAATATTTTACTGTAACGACAGTATAGATGACAAAATAATAGTGGTCAGTAGTGCCTAAATAACTGGCATTTTTTGTTTCTTCAAAAATCATAAAATGGAAACGTATATAGCTACTCTATTCGAATTGTTCCCAATCCTCAGTCACTATAGTAGTGGGCGGTCTAAGAGGTGGGGTGGTCTGGCTTCCAACCCCAAGAACAGGTCTAGCAGATGGGGCATTCATGCTTCCAACTGCAAGCACGGGTGTAGGAGGTGGTGGGGTGTTCAGTCCTCCAACCCCAAACACAGGTCTAGAAGGAGTTGAGGCGTTCATGCTTCCAACTCCAAGCAAGGGTGTAGGAGGTGGTGGGGTGTTCAGTCCTCCAACCCCAAACGCAGGTCTAGAAGGAGTTGAGGCGTTCATGCTTCCAACTCCAAGCACGGGTGTAGGAGGTGGTGGGGTGTTCAGTCCTCCAACCCCAAACGCAGGTCTAGGCGGAGGTGAGGCCTTCATGCTTCCAACCCCAAGCACGGGTCTAGGAGGAGATGGAGTGTTTATGCTTCCAACCTCAAGCACAGGTCTAGGTGGTGGTGGGGCATTCAGGCTTCCAACCCCCGAATCAAATGTCTCCCATTGAGTAGTCACTGACACGGCATTACTGTTGTTGATAAAGGGATTGGAATTTCTTGCTTTTACTGCATCCAATGTCTCTACTAAGTTTTGGACACGACGAACCTGAAAAGGGGAGAAAGAACTTGACATTATAGTGCAGTGATCATCAATTTGTTCAATCATGCAAAAAAAACAATAGGGGCATAAGCAGCAGTTTTCCTCTAGAAGCAAGTATTGAATGCAGCAGTTATCAACACTCCGTTTTTCTAATCATATTCACAACAGATATCTCAAATATGACGTAAAAGTTTCTGAACATCAAAAGATCAATGTAGAAGATTATGAAGACAGCGAAAATTACCATTTTACAGTTAGTTTAGACCGTTAATAATTGATAGAAATACATTAGTTAAGCAATTCGAATCGGTTAGCCAAGGAAGTTGACAATGTATGAGAACAAGAGGCTACTGAGATTAAATAAATAAACATCAAGGAATAAGATAATTGTGATCTGTTTTCAGCGAAGTGATAGTTCAAGTCAGAAATTGAGGAACTTAAGTAGCGGGAGGGGGGGGGGGTTCAATTTGGTTGGCTTTTTACCTAAAAAGAAATCAAAACGACTATATCTTTTTATTAAGTATTAACAAATACAAAAACCAAAGAGAGTTGATTATTTCAGTTTTATTAGTTTTTTTATTTCTTTAGATGACATACAAATTTAACTCATTCTGGGGTCATTTAGTTTGAAAACAAATTATCCTAGGATTATTTCATATTGATTGTGTTGTTAGTTGTAATCAAAATGATATGGCATAATTTCTTATTAACCGTGTTTTTTACTGAAGAAGGAATGTTACTGAGCTAAATTGATAAATATGTGATGGACAAGGTGGCAGACAGAAGACCCTCATCATCTATTCACCTTCTCTTTAACCAAAGCTTGTGCATCTTTTTTTTTAAATAACCATGGTATTCGGACCAACTTGAGCACACGTTGACTAATTCCACATGTTACCTGCTACTTCCCAGCAGCACAGGTACTGGTACTTGGTAAATTTGTCCACCAAGGCTTAAACAAATGGGACGAAATCACCTCATGTTTTTTCTCTCAGCTGGGATTGAACTTGAAACCTCATAGTTCTCAACCCATTTCATCGACCAGTAACCACACCCTTAGGTAACATCTCTCCTTTTCTTTTAGAAGTTAAGCTTGTCCTCTTGATTACCAAAAAGAATAAAATTCTGAAATAATTGACTCAAAAGGAAAGTTTCATCATCCACTCAGCCTCTCTTTAAGGCAAAGCTTGTTATTTTGATTACCAATAAGAATAACAATTAGTTGGGATTAAGTTTTAGTTGTGTTAGCACGTCCTTTTTAGTCCATTATTTTCTAAGAGCCCCTTAGTCCTGCCAGTAGCAAAATATAGAAAAGTTCAGATACTCCATATTTTTATTTTAAATTTATACAATACCGTAATGAGATGAACTTAAATTGCAGAGACATGGACAGTGATAATTCATACAGCTGGCCTCAACTAGCTATGTTGTGTATAAAATAATTTAGATCAGGCTTAATACGAACAAAATGGAGTTCTTGTTGTCAAAATGAATGTAACTATTTTCAAGATTTAAATGGACAACTTATGTTTGGGCAGACATCCAAGCTATGTAACAGATTATGTTAAAAAAAAGGAAGAAAAATCCAATCTCATGCAATTAACTATAAAGCAACATTCGGCATCAGTGAAAAAAAGGGCATAATCTACCAGAAAGAACAGCAAAGGGAATTATCCATACAGCCTCGAATATCCAAACTTTGAGGGCTGGACATTTTATCTATCTTATGTGGTTTTCTACACATGATTAGCAAAGCTATTCAGTTACTTTTACACAAATGTTAAATCATCAGAATTGAAACCAAGTGCCTACCTAGGTGAAGGACATCAAATACACTTCAAATTCTAGTTAGTGGCATATTGCAACAGTTGAAAATTAAGTTAGGATAAACTAAATAATTATTATTTAACAAGTAGGACCAAAATTTAATTGTATAGGAAACACACCTCCGATTTTCTTTGTACTCTTCCTTCTCCTGCAGCCTCAATGCCGTCCAATTTCAGTAGCTGTCTCATCAGCATTTCTGTCAAATGGATAATATCCTTGTCCTCAACATTAGTACCACCAAACACGACTGCTTGTACAGCAGAGACCTGTTGTAATGAGACCAAAGTAAAACTTCAAATTAAGAGATGATGGTGTCATCAGCCACCTTACAACAAAAGGAAATCCACCTGCTCTGAGAGCTTATCCACTTCTGTTCTCACTTCAGCAACAGCTTCGGCTCCTCTTGATATTTCAGTGGTAACCCTAACCTCTTCAGGAATTTTTTCCTCAACCATTTCTTCCTCCATAACTAACACTTTGGAATTGTCTTTCACACCAACCAAGTGCAGATATTCATGATCTTCTTTTTCTTTTCCCCGGAATAGAAGTTTTTGCAGCTTAGGCTCCAAACCGATTATTGAGGAAAGGATACTTTTTACTTCACCTATATCCAAATTTGATTGGCATTAAATGCTTAGAACAGCTCAAGCATAGCAGGAAGGTATTGTGGACAATTTATAACATCCATGTATAAATATAGATGATGCAAAAATTGTTACTTCTACTAAAACAATAAAAGCTATTACATTTACTAAGTTGATTTGATTTGAGTTAATAAAATCTTACACACACTGAAACACCGCATAGATCACAGGTAACAATGTCATAAACATTGCTTTGGAGGACTATAAGCGCTTTTAATAATTGTGATAAAAAAGAAAATGGTCAGAGCTTAAGAAGGCATTGTGGTATAGTTGGTTATCATTGTAAACACTTCTCCTCATCCTAAAATGTAGATAGCTAACATTCCGTTTCCTCCTATTCAAATTACAAATCTACCTTGCCAGTATATAAGTAGCAACTAGCAAGTGGTGCAACAACATTGCGGCATAAAAGTGGATGAAGCTTGAATGAATCATGGGAGGCAATTCGAAATTCGAATTCCAAAAAAGTAAGAAAATCCAGTAGACTTCTTTCAATCTATCTAAGCCTTAGCCCTTGGTGGGAGGATGCAGGTCCCAATGAAATAGTTGAGATGGGTGCAAATGCAGCTTGACATCATCATTTATCAAGAAATTGAAAGAAAAGGGACAAAATAACATTTTTTAGAAACATTATCCACTGTACTGACTACTGAGAAACCATGTAAGGATAGATACAAGTCACAACCTACCAGACGTGGAGCCATCATTGCGGTTACTATCAAATTTCTGTTAAATGCTTCTCAAATTGAGAGTGATGCCATTAAATAGAAAGTATACAGAGTACATCCCAAAAGATCCGTCATTCCTATCCCTAGCAATCCTTTATTCTATTCCTCCAAATCTGCTATTCTATCACAATATTACTTTCTTTGATTACTATAACTAATCTCTACAATTAAACTTATATACATCACTATATAGTTACATTAACATATTCCTTTATTCTATCCCTCCAAATCTGCTATTCTATCACAATATTACTTTCTTTGATTACTACAACAAATCTCTATAATTACCCTTATATACATCACTATATAGTTACATTAACATACACAATAAACACTATTAATTCGTGATGTGTGAGCAATTCATCATGCAGAACTCAATACTTTTGGCTATAATTACACTCATATGCAAAACTATATAGTTATTACATTAATATATACAATTATTCGCTATTAATTCATGATGTGCGAGCGCTATGCATCATGCTAACAGTTACGGCTTTGGCATAACTCATTAGTTTTGGCTAAACCCTAAATAAAATTAACATTAACATGTATAATTAGGATCCGCGCTAGTATCAAGCAACATACAATAAATAAACTCAAAAAAAAAAACAGATTCTATACAGAATCCACACAAACTGGACAATCCCTATCCTTTCGACCACGAAATATAACCAAAAAATTTGCTGAAAATCACTAAATGAGGGGAGAATATTACCAAAAGTGAGTTCAGGTGGCACAGGAAGGTCAAATTCTTGAGAAGCATACGAGACCTTGATGATTATAGTGGGATTAGCGGCAGCATCGTTTTCTCTCTTCTGAACAAGCATGCCGCTCGGTCTAATTTCCCAAGCAGCTTCATCGCCGCAACTGGTACTGCTATTGATTGACTCTTTCATCCCCAAATCGGAGATGGATTATCGATCTTCCACAACAGAGATTGATACCAGTAACAATTTGAAGATTATTTGAGAAAGGGAGACGACAAAGGGGAAGTACAAGAGACCTAGGGAACTGTGCTAAGTACGGATAAAGGGAATCTTACGTAAATATATTATAACAAAAAAAATATTTATTATTTATAATAATAATATTTTTTAAAATGTATTAACTTATTTAATTTTTTCTAAAGAAAAAAAAAAGGATTAAGTTAATGAAGATTATAATAAGGAGGGATTATACCTAAAATCAACACTGCTTGTAGGCGGATTTAGCATACGATTCGATTTAGTTAGTTTAATTTAAATTGATAAGAAGTTTATTTAGATTAGTTGAGATAAAGTTAAGTTTTATTTCGATGTATATAATTTAAATTTTTAAATTAGATTTTTTATTTAAAAACATAATTTTTTAAAAATTATTACGCTATTTAAATTATTAAAATTTTCTTTTGTATAATCTTATTAAATAAATAAGAAAATATAACAAAAATATTACAATATTTATTTATGGAACTTTAGTTCAATAAAAAAGGTAAAACTAAGACCTGAATTATAATGTATTTGGTACTTAGCTACTCTACTTTTCTTGCTAATCCATCTCTAATTATTTAATTACTAACCTAATTCATAGCTAATTTATCGATGAATAGAATTAATAATCGATTTTGTTATTTAGCTATAAAATCTATTTATCGCTATTTATTTTTTTTTGGTAATGCACATAGTTTAAACATTTTTCTTTGTATGAAGTTAAAAAAATTGTATCTTAGAGATCAATATTTATCTATCAACGAAAATAACAATTTTATAAGTAATTACTAAAATGACACGTAACAGATATGAAATACCTTCTGTAAATAAATATCTATGTTGGTGTAAATAATGATTAATGATTCTATTAATTATAATTGATTTAAAGTAGGGGTATATAACCAAGTTAGTTTGAATTTTTAAATATTAAATTAATTTATTAGTATTGAATTTTTAAATTTATAAATCAAATTAAATTAATAAAAAAAAGTCAGATTTTTCAACCTAAGAGGTTTATAGGTTATTTGAGATTTTTGAATTTTTTTTCTCGATAAAGTGTTCATACAAACATATACTAATTAACTTATGTTTCAAATATTTTTTTAGTCCCGGGTTTTTTAAGAAAATAACATAATTTTTTAGATAAGTGGATCATTAAAATATTCAATAAAAAATAATATTAAAATTACATAAAATAGATATTGCAAATTAAAAAGTCATAAAAAGAAAATGATTTAATGATCATAATTTAAAAATACTAAATTATGCTAAAATAAGTCTATAAGTATTGATTACATGATTAGACATTATATTAGGTTATGTATTTTAAGGGCCCATTTGGTCAAGCAATATGGTATCGTGATATAAAACATGATATGGTATCATAAGATAAAACTAAAGTTTCGTTTGGATATACGATATGAAATTTTTCTGTTATATATTTTCTCATAAACATAAAAATCTTATAAATTGTAAAACTATTAAAATAGCCCCTATTGTTTATTCAGTCTTACCAAATAAATTAAAAGATTATAAAATGACATAATAAATTATTTCAAAGATAGTTATTTCTCACTCAAGTAATTGTTTTATCAAACTTTAATTCAATAAAGAAAATTAATCATAAATTATAGTGAGCTAGTCTTTAATTCAATCCTCCACATAATAATGACAATTTTCTCAAGTTGAACTTGCATTTCTTGATTATGTGAGGGAGAAGACGAACCAACATAATTGCTTTGAGTCATTTTTTGATTAATATTATCCATAAATATTTCATTACTCCTTTTCACAAATAATTATGTAACACCCAGCAAATTATGACAATTTTCACTTGTGTGTCAATATCGTAATGGCTCATACCTTATTTCAATGCTTTGAATCTATTTTTGCAAACTCAAAAAGTCCATGTGATTGTTCTAATAAAATATAAACTTGTAGATTAATTTTTATGTTTAAAAAATCTTAAACCATGATATGGATGAAATCGCACATTTACTAAATGTCTAAATCAATGTAAAGTAAAAAAAATAAATATTCAAAACTATTGTCATTAAGACTTGATTTAATTATGTTGTTAGCATTGGTATTAAGTTGAGTTTTATTAGAGTTACTAATATTTATCGATTATAATCTCTATTTAACAATTCAAAATTTTACATACAAGAACCAAGAATAGGTTGTTTCAAAGCTTAATAAGAAATAGTAATAATGTTGTCAAGCTGGAAGTGGTTGGTATCATCATACACACATTCAACAACCAAAATCAATCCAAGCTTTAACTAATTGTGGGCAACAGGGAAAAAGAGGGAATCAACAGTAACAGATACCCTCGGCAAAGTTGCCATTGAAACTACAAATTTCTAAGAAAAACAATAGCTAAGATCTGCGATACAATCTACCAGCGGCAAAAGACTTCAATATTTGAAAAAAAATGTAGGCATGCTAGAGGATAAATTGATGCAAAACAACAAGTAGGCATCAACCAAAACAAATCCAAGCTTGTCCAATTACAATATTGGCAACAGGGAAAAAGAGGAAAATCTACAATAAAAGATCACCTCGGCAAAGTTGCTCGACTGTTTCTGATAAACTCTCGACTCAATCTAAATCATTATTATATACATGAAAAACACAGATTAGATCGCATGATAATAATTGCACAGAAATAGAGAAACAAATAAAAATAAAGATGGAAAACATCCTATCAGAGTAACTATGACAAAAAAAAGCTTCATTTGGATGTTAATCCATAGCTTAATTTAAAGTCTTCATCATTTAGGATCATGTACCAATGCTTTTGCACATTCAAAAAACTACAAAACAAAACAAAAAGACAAGTTAAATTCAATCAATTCAATTCAATTGAAAGAAGATAGATGAGAAGGTACGGCGGTTGATCCGCCATAGTTGAGCTGTGCTAGGGTTTGAGTTCTTGATTGAGTTGTGCTTCTTTATATACAGAGGGACTCGGGGGCTAGGGTTTTGCTGGACATTGTTTGGGAAAAAAGGCCCAGATAAAAAAAAGGGTCCAATTTCGAAATATAAAATTGAAATACACATATGGATTCAATATATTTTTATCTTATAAATAATAATGCAATTTTACAATTGTAATACTATTACAAATTTATTTTTAGTTTTATGTTGTTGTTTTTAAATTTACTTTTTATATTTTTACATATGAAAAATTTGAAGATAGCATTTTTTAGAATTATTTTCTTATCTTCAAATTGTAATAGTATGTTCACTCAAAGTCATTTTCAAATATACATGGTCTTACCTTCTCAGTTGGTCTCATTGGTGTACTACAATATCAATGTGCCTACGACTCGTTTGGTAGAGTATATTAATAAAATAATGTAAGAATTAATATAATGTATTAGTAATTCTTATTTGGTATATTACTTTTACGTTATGTAAATTATAGAATTAATGTATTCTGTATTAAAGTGTGTATTATTAATATCATGAATTTTTAGATATTAATAATGTAAGAGAATTTAATCCATACATCAGCCTAATTAAAGACTCAATTTTCCTTCAAAATCTTTTTTTATATCTTTTCCATTATAATTGAGGAGGGTGTTTCTATAAATAATTTTTTTTATGAAACGCATATTATTTTTAATATTCTAAACAAAATAATGCATATAACTCAGTTCTAACATATAAAAGTTTACTAAACTTATTAAACCACTCAATAAAGTAAGGTGAGAAACTAATATTGGCCCAATGGCCTCGACATAGCCACCAAGATATTAAGGAAAAAAGTTTATTTCTAAAAGTTTAACAAAAGGAAGAAAAATGTTAGTTTCCCTGTTGCTTCTAGTACTAAATCCATTCCATTTTATTTCTCTTTCTCTTTTCACGCCTCTTAAGAAAACATTAATTAAAAATTAATAATTAATTATATTTTAAAATTTTCTAAAATAATAATTATTTTGAACCATCGTAAAAAAGAACTAGAAGGAGTACCTTTCATTTCTATTTTTTATTTTCTATGATGTTTGCTTGAGATGAATGCAAGCAGGGTACATGATCAATGGGAAATCAATAGAGGTGTCAAAAATAAATTCAAATATAGGTAATTTACTCAATTTGTCTAGAATTTTAAAAAAGATTGAGTTCTACATAATTTGAATTGGATTCAATCTCAAGTCATTCAAGCATAACATATTTTAATAGAATTCTCAATTGAATTTTGTATAAAAAATTAATTTTTGAATTTAAATTTATGTAACATTTTTTTTATATAATTTTTAAATATGTAAATTTTGTTTAAAAAACTTAAAACTCCATGTCCAAAATGAAATGAGTGGTGATGAAATTGGGACAACTCACCAATCCCAATCACAAAATGGTGTTTAATGGCACTGTTTGTGTCTTTAATATGAATGTCTTTTAGTCTGTATTCATTATTTAATATCAAGAAAAGTTTATGTGCATTTTTTTAACACGTGCAGAGGGAGGTGCTGTAACGCCCAAGGAGGTGCAAAACTCGAGGTAGGTCAAAAAAAATATTTAAAAAATATAATTTAATATAATATGATCGTAACTTTATATTATTGAGGACATAATTCTAATCTCTAGAGAAGAATACAATGGATGTGGATGTAATGTATTAGAATAGAAGATTAGTAGAGATGATGCATTGTCTTTTCTCGAAAAGATTTAGGATCGTTAGTAGGTTCTATAATAGTTATACTTTTGTAGTTCTTGTCAATTGTTATGTTGTTTATTGTGATTCAATTGTTACTATCGCTTTATAGCAGATTTTATACAACTTTTGTTGTTTATAATTGTTTCTCCATTTTTGTTCTTTTTTTGAGAGTGATGTACTTGAGCTGAGATGCTTTTCGAAAGAGTCTCTCTATTTTTATGAAGTAAGATTCTTTTCAAAAGAGTTTCTCTATCTTTATGAAGCAGTGCTAAAATCTGCATACATTTTACCCCTCAATCTCCAAATAATGAAATTTTACTTGTATGTTTTTTTTTTTACGAAAATAATACCTTGTAGTCAATTTTAATTTATATCTAAGCATATGTTGAACCTTCTTGGTTAAAATCAGGTCTCAACTACTGTATGTATTATCAGATATTATGAATATCTTATGTAATTTTTCTCTCCCTATATAAGCTTATATAGCTTGACTTATAAGCATAAGCTGTATACAAGTAATAAATTATTTGTTTACTGAAATAATAATATAAGTGAGCCAAATTTTAACAGATGTTACATATATGTGTCTTTTTTTAATGTTCGATAACATATTTGAGTATTTTTCTTTATCCTTTTTGATAACCAAAATACCAACAAATAAGTAACAAACTTTTCTTTTTCGTAGGACCTTCATACCAAACACAACTTTTGTTGTTTTACTTGTTCTCTTGTTGTATACTAAGGTTTTATATTTTCAAGCAAAACATATGGAAGTAGTAACATATGGCTAATAAAGATGAAATCTAACTCAGTTGTAACAACTAGGAACACGATATGACAAAGTTCCCAACTTATTATACCAATCAACAAACTATAAAATGAGAAAGTAGTTGACAAGAATCTATAGTAACTTAAGCATTTGCCCCATGGACTTGATAGATGTTCACTTCAAGACTCTATGATACACTTGCTTGCTATATGATTGGAGCTCATGATTGCTCCAACAACAGGCATTGGCAGAGCGAGTCGTGATGGCAAGGCAGAAATGAAGTCTACCAAATCATTTAGATTCTTATGTGAAGTACCATCAATCTGCATAGCAGCAACAATGTTTTGTTTCATGTCTACTACTCTTTTCTTCACATCTTTGCCTTCTTCACTTAACATGAGTTTTCTTATTGTTTTCTCTATGACCGTTCTCTCGATAGCCTCCAATTCGAACCCAGCCTTGTATATTTGGCTCAGATACCTTGCGTTCACCGGTTGATCTGCTAGAAATGGCCTGCATATCAAAGGGACTTCCTCCAAAATACTTTCAAGTGTAGAATTCCAACCACAATGAGTGAAAAACCCTGCTACCGCGGGATGTGCAAGCACCTGTTTTTGTGGCGCCCATTTCACTATCCGTCCTCTTTCTCCTACCATTTCTTCATAACCATCAGGCAGTGCCTCAGCACATTGAAAACCATAGACAGAGCCAGGTCGAATTACCCACAAGAACGGTTGATCACTATTAGCTAATCCCCAAGCAGTCTCGATTAGCTCTTTGTCATCAATCCTCACTAGGCTACCTAAGCTGACATAGAGAACAGAGTTAGGAGCTTGTCTATCGAGCCAATCGATGCAGCTGTTGTCTTCTTGTAGTATGCTAGTCGATGAGGCCACAGGCACCATTTTGTGAAAAGGTCCTATTGGAAAAAAGGGCACCTTGTAATGTTCCTGAAGGCGTAACAACAATGAATTCTCCAAGTCCTGCATCGTGTTCCATATAGTCGCAACAGATGATCCTATATCACTCATTGATCTGCTGAATTCTAGCAACGGTGCTTGAACTGTATTATTAACAGTAGTAATTGGTATATCCTTAAACCTCAAGGGATGAAGCTCCGGTAACGGATCCAGCAGCTGAGAATCTGAAATTGCAAGTGAGTAATCAATGCGATAAATTTATCGAATATTGAAGCATAGGATGGTGTAATTGCTTTCATACCTTCAAAAGGAAAATACTTTTCTGGTCGCTGTAAAATGGTGATCATAGAGTGCAAATACGCAGCACTGTAAGTGCGGAGGACAATGCTGGGAAGCCTCAGCTGAGTCGCTACATCGTCGACGAAGAACATGATGTTATCATAAATGATACAAGCTAGCTGATCCCCTTCCTCTTCCATCATACTAACCAGGTAATTTCTCAGGGGTTCCTTACAATTCTTGTTCATACAATTTATATGCACTAAACTCGGGAATGACATGTCGATTCCCTGTAATGCGTCATCCATAGAATGGAAGACGAATTGAGGATGATTGGAATAATTAGGAGCATTGTGTGGAGTATGTGCAACTATAACAGAAAAGCCCTGTGAATGAAGTAGACTTCCAAGCTGTAGCATTGGTGTTAAATGCCCCTGGAGTAGGAATGGTACTAGTACTACACTCTGTTTTCTTTCAACTCTCATCTTTGTTTTCTCTTCTATTCAAAAATTTAGTAGTAGTTTTCTTTGAAGGAAGTTTATGTATAACAGGGGCAGATCTAGCATTGAAGTCTTGGGTTAACGTGAATCAAGTAGTTACCTTTAGCTCAGCTATTGAATAAGTGGTGATGAATTGGGACAACTCACCGTTCTCAATTCCCAAAAAGGAGTAAAAGCCCTCAATCTTGAGATTGGTGCTGTTTGTCTTTATATTATGTAAGTCTTCTAAATCCAATAATTACGTTATCACGTGTGAGACGCTTATATCAAGAAACTAGTTCTCGAATACGTGCAACGCACGTATATTTCATGTTAAGTATTTTTTTTTTTTAAGAAAACCATATGAGTTATATGATGTGCATATTTTTAAAATGTTTTTTGTTCTAGTATTTCTTCCATGCCTAGTTACTTATCCAGTTATCAATCAACCTTCTTTCATCTCTACATTTAATTGGGAAGATTTATACTTGCAGATTTATATGAAATAATACTTACCTTCTTCTCTGTAACTATGAGTGTGTTATCACCCCCTATGGTCTTAGCATTTTCTTACATGATCACTATGGAAACTTTGTTAAGTAACGTTGAGACTTGTAATTCATATTCATTTAAAAGTTACATCACTACTTATTTCATAACCTCCGCTTCATTCATAAGTACATAACTCTCTTTTATTATGGTGGAGTATAACTATTTAATTTTTAAGTAAAATTTTCGGTCGAGTCTTATTGTGTATCGAATTAACTTTATTAGAGAGTGTTTTATGTTTTACTCTGAAACTTTCTTGGCGTGAATGCGAAGAAAGTTACTAGTCAATCCATCAATGAATTTATTTTTATTTCCAAAAAAAGAAACTTTCTCTCGAATGACTAAAAGCTTGTTTAGATGAGTTTATAGATTATTACTTAAAAGCATAGCCATGCCAAAATCTGGAAAAAAAGAGAGAAGAAGATGAGGGTGATCACTCAGAATGATAAGCCATGCCAAAATCTGGAAAAAAAGAGAGAAGAAGATGAGGGTGATCACTCAGAATGATAAGCAGTGAAGGTGCTCGACAAAATGGATGAGAGAAAAAAAAAAATCAAAGAGCACTTGTGCTCCTAACTGGATATGGAAACAGAGAGAAAAAATCTTACAAATGGATGAAGCCGAGAGAAGATGGTGCAATGTTAAATTAGGTTTGCCAAAAGTTAGTTCGAAAGAGGAGGAAACCTTATAAGAGTCCACCCATCTCATTAACCAAAGATATGAGACTTTTGTCCTTCTTTAATATGCAATGAGTTAAAAGATTGATTCCCAGATTGCAAAATATTTGCAGGACAACTATAGCTCCGGATACTCGAGCCCAAGCACCATCCTCTGCTGCTTTTCAGGTACAAAAATCCTCCCTTATGGCTGGCTGCCTTCTAGACTTAACATTTTTAATCACATTCGCAGTTACTTGTTAATGTATTAAAGAATAAACACATTATTTAATCGATTTCAATTCTGTATACGAATAAAATTTGGTAGATATGGAGCACATAGATGCCAATAGGTGAAATTTCACATGCTGGATAGTGATCCTACTTTAGTCTCAGGTTCTTGTTTAGATTAGCCTGATATGAGTGTATTCAACCCTCAATCAAATGCGACTAACCAGACTACTTGGCTAGTCGCATAGAAGACCAAGAAATCATTAATTAATAGAAAAAAGATGTGCCGTGATTTGAACTTAAACTCTTTGGTGAGTATGAAAAAGGAATATCAAGTTAGACCTTGTAGAAAAATGAAACAAGGTGTTCCCAAACCATAGCCAAAATGACATTACTCTTGCCTTCTTCGGCACTTTATGACTGCTCCTCCACCCTTGAACCTGGTAAAACACTCATATATTTTAGAGGAATCTATCATAGTAAGGAGAAGAGCCTTTATTTCTTTCCGAAGACTTAAGATGCAGTATTTAATTAGCAGCAGCACGATCAAGTGATTGAACCTTGACAAATAAACACCCTATTAATTACCTCCCCTCTAGGTAAACCACCCTGTTTCAGAAAATTCCATGGTGCTCACTCCAACACCTATCATTTCTGCATATAAAGTCGTTCACTAGTATTCACATGATCATAATTGGACTGACTGGGGTGAGATCGGGTCAAGTCCTGGTCTATGTTAAGGGTGGGAATCCAAGTCTGGGACCATGTCATAGTATTTTCCCAGATTATACATAATACTCATGGGACAACATTTTCTTTATGTTAACCGAACACCAGGAAATAAGTAATAAAACCATTTATTTTCCACAAAACTGTTTCTAGGAAAACATATTCGTTCATACCAAACACAACCTTTGTTTTACTAGTTCCCTCGTTGAATACTACATATTATATTTTTAACATAGGGATAACAAAGAGTAAATATATCTAAGTTCTAACAATTAGGAAACAATATGTCAAAGTTCCCAACTTATTAAGCAAATCAATAGACCAAAATAAGAAAGTCTTGTGATTCTAGTCTTATTCTTCCTTTGTGATTAAAGGACTTGTTGTCTTGCCAAGCTAGCAGGCAACAAAAATATGTAATTCTTCTAACTTCAGGACTCTCTGATACACTTGCTTGATGTATCGAATGCCCCAACAACAGGTGTTGGCGGAGGGAGCCGTGATGGCAAGGCAGAAATGAAGTCTACCAAATCATTTAGATTCTTATGTGAAGCACCATCAATCTGCATTCCAGCAACTATCTTTTGTTTCATGTCTACTACTCTTTTCTTCAGATCTTTGCCTTCGTCACTTAACATGAGCTTTCTTACTGTTTTCTCTATGACCGTTCTCTCGATAACCTCCAATTCGAACCCAACCTTGTACATGTGGCTCAGATACCTAGCTGTCACCGGCTGGTCGGCTAGAAATGGCCTGCATATCATAGGGACTTCTTCACATATACTTTCAAGCGTAGAATTCCAACCACAATGAGTGAAAAACCCTGCTACCGCGGGATGTGCAAGTATCTGTTTTTGTGGCGCCCATTTCACTATTCGTCCTCTTTCTCCTACCATTTTCTCAAAACCATCAGGCAGTGCCTCAGCACATTGAAAGCCAGAGACAGAGCCCGGTCGAATAACCCACAAGAATGGTTGATCACTATTAGCTAATCCCCAAGCAGTCTCAGTTAGCTCTTTGTCATTAATCCTCATTTGGCTACCTATGCTGACATAAAGAACAGAGTTAGGAACTTGTCTGTCGAGCCACTTGATGCAGCTATCATCTTCTTGTAGTATGCTAGTCGATGAGGCCGTAGGCGCCATTTTGTGAAAAGGGCCTATTGCATAGAAGGGCACCTTGTAATGTTCTTGAAGGCGTAACAATATTGGATTCTCCATGTCTTGCATCGTGTTCCAAATAGTCGCAACAGATGACCCTATATTGTTGATTGCTTTAAAGAAGTCTAGTACCGGTTCTGCAACTGTATTATATACAGCAGGAATTGGTACATCCTTAAACCTCAAGGGATAAAGCTCTGGTAACGGATCCAACAACTGAGAATCTGGAATTGTAGTGAGTAATTAATACAAACTTAAGCGAACTGATACAACATAATGGAAGAAAAAGATTATGGGCTGAATTATACTAGCTGCACTCACTCTGTTCCATTTTACTTGTCTTTTTTTTTTGCACGCCCCATAAGAAAACAATAACTAAAAGTGTAATTTGACCAAATTATCCTAATTATTTGATCTCAATTTAATACTACTATCTTTTCCACCACGTTAATTTCTTTTCACATTTATTGAGTAAAAGATAAAAGTGAAAACTATTAGTTAATTATATCTTGGTTTTCTGAAGTGATAATTATCTTGGACCATCTATTTTTTGTAAGGACGACAAGTAACATCGACTGGAAAGGGTGCCTTTCATTTATATTTATATTTTTATTTTCTATAATGTTGGTTTGTGATGAATGTAATGAGGGAACTTTGTGACTGAAGCATAGTTATTGTTATCGAAATGATTTTTCATTAAAATCTTGAAGCAGAGGATGTGTTTGTTCTCATACCTTCGAAAGGAAAATATTTTTCTGGTTGCTGAAAAATGGTGATCATGGAGTGCAGATATGCAGCACTGGAAGTGTGCAGGACAATGCTGGGAAGCCTTAACTGAGTGGCTACATCATCAACGAAAATCATGACATTATCATAAACGATACAAGCAAGCTGATCACCTTCCTCTTTCATCTTCTTAACAAGGTAGTTTCTGAGAGGCACCTTGCAGTTCTCATTCAAATCATATATGTTCTCTAGACTCGGTAATGATATGTTGATTCCCTTTAATCCATCATCCATAGAATGGAAGACGAATTCAGGATGATTGGAATATTTAGGAGTATTCAATTCAGGATGTGCTATTATAACAGAAAAGCCTTGAGAATAAAGGATACTTCCAAGCTGCAGCATTGGTGTTAAATGCCCCTGGAATGGAAGTGGTACTAGTACTACACTCTGTTTTCTTTGAATTTTCATCTTTTTTTTCTTGAGTTTCTCTTCTATTCAAGAGTTCAGTAATTGTGTTCTTGAAGGAAGTTTATATACACAAGTATTGTTAATTTTGTACTAGTTAATTGAATTTGTTTTAACTTTGGTATTATTAAGGTCAAAACTTCATTTACAAATTTTGTACTGGTCAGTTTGATTTGCTTTACCTTTGTATTATTAAGGTCAAAACTTCATTTACAATTTTTGTAGTACTTAATTTCATTTGTTTTACCTTTGTATTAAGGTCAAAACTCCCTTTACAAATTTTTTGTACTAGTTGATACAATTTGTTTTACCTTAGTATTATTAATGTCAGAACTTCATTTTATCTCACAAAGCTACTCAACGTTGAATTTTATTCCAAAGGTCACTCAACTATGAGTGTTTTACTTATAAAATCACCTAATTTTGATTTTTATTCCAACAGTTACTCACTTATGAAGTCACTCATAATCGAATGTCCATATAAATATCGAATATCAGATGAGTTGAAAACAAAATCAATCAATACTCTTGGGTCAAGTTGGGACCCAGGATTGGGGTCAGGAGTTAGGGTTGAGGTCTCTGGACGGGGTCATGGATCTAGGTTGAGGTTAGGTCCAGAGTTAACTTCGGATTGCAGTTCGTGGCATGGGTCAGTTGTCAGATCCTAGGTTAAGGTTAGGTCAGAGTCTGGTCGAGGATCAAGTTTTGAGTCGGTATTGAGGTCAGGGTTTTGTCTTACATCAGTGTTGGGGTGAGGTCGGGTCGAGTCAAGTCCGTGTCTATGTTATAGGGTGGTTCCAGATCTAGGTGTACAGAGATACTCTTGGGACAATAATATTCTTTACTAATCAAAAACTAGAAAATAAGTATGAAAAATCATTTATTTTCCACGAAAATATTTTCCTACCAACTATGAAACAATATGTCAAGGTTCCCAACTTATAAACCAATCAACAAACTAAAGTAAATTGCTTCAGCATTTGCACCATGGATTTATGAAAAGTTCACTTCTTATCTTATTCTTCCTTTTGTGATTAAGGACTTATTGTCTTGCTAAGATAGCAGGCAACAAAAATATGTATTTCTTCTAACTTCAGGACTCTCTGATATACTTGCTTGATGTATCGAATGCCCCAACAACAGGTGTTGGCGGAGGGAGCCGTGATGGCAAGGCAGAAATGAAGTCTACCAAATCATTCAGATTCTTTTGTGAAGTGCCATCAATCTGCATTCCAGCAACTATCTTTTGTTTCATGTCTACTACTCTTTTCTTCACATCTTTGCCTTCTTCACTTAACATGAGTTTTCTTATTGTTTTCTCTATGACCGTTCTCTCGATAGCCTCCAATTCGAATCCAACCTTGTATATTTGGCTCAGATACCTAGCGTTCACCAGTTGGTCTGCTAGAAATGGCCTGCATATCATAGGGACTTCTTCACATATACTTTCAAGCGTAGAACTCCAACCACAATGAGTGAAAAACCCTGCTACCGCGGGATGTGCAAGCACCTGTTTTTGTGGCACCCATTTCACTATTCGTCCTCTTTCTCCTACCATTTTCTCAAAACCATCAGGCAGTGCCTCAGCACATTGAAAGCCAGAGACAGAGCCCGGTCGAATAACCCACAAGAATGGTTGATCACTATTAGCTAATCCCCAAGCAGTCTCAGTTAGCTCTTTGTCATTAATCCTCATTTGGCTACCTATGCTGACATAAAGAACAGAGTTAGGAACTTGTCTGTCGAGCCACATGATGCAGCTATTATCTTCTTCTAGTATGCTAGTCGATGAGGCCATAGGCGCCATTTTGTGAAAAGGGCCTATTGCATAGAAGGGCACCTTGTTATGTTCTTGAAGGCGTAACAATATTGGATACTCCATGTCTTGCATCGTATTCCAAATAGTCGCAACAGATGACCCTATATTGTTGATTGCTTTAAAGAAGTCTAGTACCGGTTCTGCAACTGTATTATTAACAGCAGGAATTGGTACATCCTTAAACCTCAAGGGATGAAGCTCTGGTAACGGATCCAACAACTGAGAATCTGGAATCGTAGTGAGTAATTAATACAAACTTAAGCGAACTGATACAACATAATGGAAGAAAAATATTATAGGCTGAATTATACTTGCTGCACTCACTTTGTTCCATTTTACTTGTCATTTTTTTTGCACGTCCCATAAGAAAACAATAACTAAAAGTGTAATTTGATCTCAATTTAATACTACTATCTTTTCCACCACATTAATTTCTTTCCACATTTATTGAGTAAAGATAAAAGCGAAAACTATTAGTTAATTATATCTTGGTTTTCTGAAGTGACAATTATCTTGGACTATCTATTTTTTGTAAGGACGACAAGTAAAGGGTGCCTTTCATTTTTATTTTTATTTTTATTTTCTATAATGTTGGCTTGTGATGAATGTAACGAGGGAACTTTGTGACTGAAGCATAGTTATTGTTATCGAAATGATTTTTCATTAAATTCTTGAATCAGAGGATGTGTTTGTTCTCATACCTTCGAAAGGAAAATATTTTTCTGGTTGCTGAAAAATGGTGATCATGGAGTGCAGATATGCAGCACTGGAAGTGTGCAGGACAATGCTGGGAAGCCTTAACTGAGTGGCTACATCATCAACGAAAATCATGACATTATCATAAACGATACAAGCAAGCTGATCACCTTCCTCTTTCATCTTCTTAACAAGGTAGTTTCTGAGAGGCACCTTGCAGTTCTCATTCAAATGATATATGTTCTCTAGACTCGGTGATGATATGTTGATTCCCTTTAATACGTCATCCATAGAATGGAAGACGAATTCAGGATGATTGGAATATTTAGGAGTATTGAATTCAGGATGAGCTATTATAACAGAAAAGCCTTGAGAATGAAGGATACTTCCAAGCTGCAGCATTGGTGTTAAATGCCCCTGGCATGGAAGTGGTACTAGTACTACACTCTGTTTTCTTTGAGTTTTCATCTTTGTTTTATTGAGTTTCTCTTCTATTCAAGAGTTCAGTAATTGTGTTTTTGAAGGAAGTTTATATATATAAGTATTGTTAATTTTGTACTAGTTAATTTAATTTGTTTTACCTTTGTATTATTAAGTTCAAATCTTCATTTACAAATTTTGTATTGGTTAGTTTGACTTGGTTTACCTTTGTATTATTAAGGTAAAAACTTCATTTACAAATTTTGTATTGGTTAGTTTG